AGTAACTTTAATTAAATTTGCCAGTGATATTAAAAGATGTCAGGAGCCACTGCTGAGGACACAGACACCTTGCAGATGGCCCCGGGGGCTTTAGGAAAATAATCCAGGGGAGAGATGAGAGACTGTGGGCTAAGCCGGGGCATCAGTTCAGCTGAGGAAGAGGAATGGGGACAGAGGGTCCCCATATGGAGAATATATCCGAGGCCCACCCTCTTTGTCTGTATCTGTTCTGTTTCCACTAGATTTTTAACTGGTCTTCCTGCTCTCGTCTAGTCCCTCTTACAGCCATCCTAAACCTTTTAGCCAAATTGGTTTCTCTGAAATACAAATCAGACCATGTCATTCTCCTGTTTAAATCCTATCATTGGCTTTTCACTGCCCTTAGGATAGAATCCCATCTTCCCAGCCTTGCCATGAATTGAGTCCTCCCTATGTGTCCAGTCTTCTGGACCCTCGTCTTCTGCCCCTCCTTCCTCACACTGAATTCCTTGTCATCCCATGCACACAGAGGGCTTTCCCATGTCTCCATGTCTTTGCTTGGCCTGTTCTCTTTGACTTGAACGCCCTTCCCACTTTTTTTCTTTTCTTTTTTTTTTTTTTGACTAAAGCTCAGTCATGCTTAAAGACTCATTTCAGGGATCACCTCCTTCAGAACGCCTTCCTGAATCCCCAAGCTGGCTCAGTGCCCTCTTCATGTTCCCACAGCCTGCTGCCCTCACCTTCACTTGTTATAGTAAAAGTTCCTATTTATGCAGCTGTCTACCTTTGCTAGATTGTACCTTCGAGGGCAAACCCTGTGTTTTATTTTTCATTTTGCCCACCAGCATCTAGTACCAGGCGTGGCAAATCACAAGCTTTTGTTAATGTTTGTCACACTGAAATGACGGGAAGGAGCGTATTCGGGTCGGGGGTGCCAATCGGGCACAACACCCCCAGTGAGCCTGGGGACTAGGCAGCTCTCCCAAATGGCTAGTCTCTCCTGTGAGGGTGTGTGGGGCAGTCGTGTTGCTTCTCAGTCCACAGAAGACTGGAAGCTGATTGAGGGTCGTGGATGTTCTACAACAAAGTGGGACCTCTTAGTAAAATGGAGTGGTTATAACCATAAATTTTATGTCATTTGTGTGTGCGTTCCCACTCTGCTTCCTCCTTGCTTTATACTTTGAGTAAATGACTTAATTAAGACTCAGTTTCCCAAAATGTAAAATAGGGGTAAAAATAGTACTAATCTCAGAGGGTTGTTATGAAGATTAAATGTGGAAGTACTTAGCATTATGCACACAACATGCACTTGCAAGTGTTAGTTACTATTATTAATATCTTCATTATTTGGGGTGGTTCTGAGGGTCTCAAGCTGAGTCATATCCCTCAGTATGCCTTAGGGCTGATTAAGAGCCTTCTGGAACCACAGAAGATCATTTGAGTCTCTCAAGGGCTGGGGTGGACCCCCAGGAGTCTGGGATCTGTCTCAATTGGTGTCTGGGTTTGGGACAATGGCACAAAAAATGACCATTGGCTTGGTCATCAGAAGTGTCCTCTCTCTCTCTAACATCTCAGGCAGAAACCATTTCCTGGCAGGGCTGGAAAGAACAACTGGGAATTCACAGGACATTTTCCAGCTTCAATTCCAAATACGTGGTGCAGGCCATTACTAGCCACCTTCCTGCCTTATTTTCTTTCATCCTTTTCTTCGATTCATTTGTTTTCTCAGGGAACAGTCTTTCTAAACTGGCCTCTGATTCTGACCACATGGTAGCATACTCCCCATAAAAACCTGTTGCCACAGGTGCCTTCAAGACTGAGGAGTACAAAGACCATGATCCTCCTTAATTCTCCCCGTGGCTAAAATAAGTAGGAGTCCTTGTCCCCCATTAACCAGGGTAACTCTACTAGCTCAATGTTCCATGTCCTTTGACTGCACAAGGCCAGCCCTCTTCCCTAACCTGTGGACAGCCCACTCCCTTGGGGTTGGCCGGCCCACGCAGCTGCCACCTCCTGTCACTGTTCTTGATCAAAGAGCTGCTGCAGCTGTGCCCACCTTCTGTCTCCTCCTGCGTGAGGCTTATCAGAATCCACAACGTGTCGAGTGTTCAGAGGTCGAGGCAAAGTGCCAGGATCCTTCTCTGTCCACATTTCTCCGGGGTGTGTGAGTGCCAAACCTGTGGATGGGGTCGCCGTGTACATCACAGATTATGAGAGCTTCTTCATCCTTTGAATGTGGATGCTCTACACCTTCACTGCCCTGTTCTTCCACAGTCATCCTCACAACCTTTTCTCTTCCGAGGGAGGCCAAAGCCCCAAGCACTTGCGGTGATGACCCCAGGAGCTGGACAAACGGGGAGTGTGGGCCTCAGCACTTGGCTGCCATTCTGCAGAATATGAAACCAAGTGAATCCACAGAGCCCTTTGGGAGGAAGGCATTCATGATTACAGTATGCACCAGGGCATACTGTGTCCTGAAGGGAATTTCTCGTTGAGGACAAGCCTTGGAAATTTAAAGAGGTCCCACATAGCCTCTAAAAATCTGGTCAGGATTTGTCTATGAGATCTATATGTTTTTTTCTAAAGCAAATGGCTATAATTCAGATCATAATATGGCTTTAAAGAAGGCTGATGTCTGAGTGTATTAGTCTGCTCAGGCTGCCATAGCAAAATACCATAGACTGAGTGGCTTAAACAATAGAAATTTATTTTCTCACAGTTCTGGAGGCTGGGATGTCCAAGATTAACGTGCTGGCCAATTTGGTTTCTGGCGAGAGCTCGCTTACTAGCTTGCAGATGACTGCTTTTTCACCGTGTCCTCACATGGTGAAGAGAGATCTCTCTTTCTCTTCCTATTCTTATAAGGCCACCAATCCTATCAGATTAGGGCCCCACCTGTATGACCTCATTGAACTTTAATTCCTTCCTAAAAGCCCTATCTCCCTATACAGTCACATTGGGCCTTAGAGCTTCAAAATATGAATTTTGGGGGGGCCACAATTCAGTCCATAGCACTGAGGAGGCTTCCTTAATGGCTACGTTTACTTATTCCAAGAACATACATTTAATGAGCACCTACTAACTACCTACTTAGGATGCCATGATAAACAGAATAGACATAGTCTTTGCCTTTATGTCATTCACAGTTTAGTGGAAGAGTTATACATTAATCATATAATCCCATAAATAAACATGTAATTTCAAAGTTTTCTAAATGCCATGACGGAAAAGTAAAAAGTATGATGAGAGAACATAACAGAGGGAACTGACCATTTTTAGGGGTGAGGGAAAGTTTTTCTGAGAAAAGCTGAGGTCTAAGGTCTAAAGCCTTGTTAAGTGGTACAAAGAAGAAACAGTCATTTCAGGCATGCATGGATGATGTCATGTGCCAAGGTCCTGAGGTGGAAAGTAGCTTGGTGTCATCCAGGACCTGATATGAAGGCTGTAGTTGCTGAAATGTAGTAAGAAGGAAAGTGGCAGAAGATGAAGGCTGAAGAGGAGAAAGAAGGCAGCTCATGCGACGCTTTGTAGGTCACGGTAAGGGAATCTCGTCTTTATATTAAGAGCAAGGGGAAACTACTGAAGGGCTTCAAATAGGGAAGTGATAGCGTAGGTTTGGGTTTTTTAAAAATGATGACCGTGGCTCTACGAGGAAATGGTTTAGTTAAGAGGTTACTGAAGTGGATTCATCAGGTGAGGAGTCGTGGCGGCTTGGGCTGTGATGGTGGTGGTAGAAATGGAGGGAGAGTTGATTGATAGGATTTCATGCTGGATGGATAAGGAACAGGAGGGAGAGGAAGGCTGGCGGACTAACACCCATTTTCTAGCATGAGGAACTGGGTGTATGGAGGTGCTATTTTCTGAGATGGGAAATAGTGGAGAAGGAGGAACAGATATGGAGGACAAGGACTTTGAATCCTTGAAGGCGCCGTACAGGTGCAAATCAGCATTCCTCTGTTACTAAAAGCACCCCACATGGTTGTACCAGAGGGGGAAAATGGGCAAGTAGCTTTTTTTTTTTTTAACTATTGCATGGTTGTTTGCATTCTCATTTCATCTGAATGAGGCAGTGAGTGGAAAGATGAGTCTGTTAGCTACAGCTGAGTTTCTTCCCACTCTTCTGAATTCATGGTCACCTTTTACTGGTTTGAGGCTAGCAGATGAGGCTGCCTTTCACCCCAAGATCTTGTCTATAGTTTAAAAAATATTTGAGAGCCACGTGCATGTTTATTAAGTGATAGCACTTGGCCCTTTCAGTGTTTGGGTTTGGAATTTGAGTGGCTGACAATCTTCATCTTCCTGTAAGTGGATGCCTAAGCTGTTTCATAAGCATGTTTTGCTGCAGGGCTGAGGGCTGCCGTGGACTGGGTCTTGGGCACAGCTTACAGAGCCTCAGTTTGGCTACACTGCAGGTAGCATTCACCACAGAGTCAACTCTCTTGACTTCCCAAGCAATCTCAGAATTAGAGCTTGCCTGCAGTTTTGCATTTGGGGAAGGAGTTTTTCCCAAGCCGGCTCAATTTCACACAGAACAAGGCATTCTATTTCTGGGGATTAGCCCATGAGAAAAGTTCAATTCAATATGCGCTCTTGCAAACCTGTGTTATGCCAGATTCTTGAGTGTGATGACAGTGGGGTAAAGAAAGCTGAAAACCCTAGAAACAGTATAAGTGGGGATGAAGATTCAGGTCATACTTGGCCTATTTTAAGTTGATTCTTGAGAATTCTCAAAGATAACAGTGGGATTGGGAGATAGGACTAGAAGGGCATCACTTATGTTTCCATTACCAATATTCCAAGCTATTTTCAGCTATTCTTCAACTGAGTCTCCACCAGATGGTCCTGAGGACAGAGCAGCTATTTGTGCCTCCCATTGACATCTATTTTTCCAAGTGAGAGACTGACCCATATGTTAGTGCAATATGTCGCTCGAGGTGAAACATCAGTTTGTATTGGTGGGAACCTGCGATTTGCTGTCCCCCTTTTCCTCATGCTTTTCCTGCCTCTCTGGTCTTTTCTAGGTCTCTGGCCTGTCAGGAGGACCATTGGTGCTGCAGTGGAAGCCAGTGGCTAAGTCTCGTGTATGGCGTGGTTAAGGTTGCAGCCTCTGACCTCTGCCTTCCTCCATTTTGGGCTGATTACTTTTGTGCTCTTCCTGAATGGTCTTCAGGCAGAGGCTGGTGGCTCAGGGGATGTGCCCAGCACAGGGCAGAACAATGAGTCCTGTTCAGGGTCATCAGACTGCAAACAGGGTGTCATCCTACCAATCTGGTACCCAGAGAACCCTTCCCTTGGAGACAAGATTGCCAGGGTCATTGTCTATTTTGTGGCCCTGATATACATGTTTCTTGGGGTGTCCATCATTGCTGACCGCTTCATGGCATCTATTGAAGTCATCACTTCTCAAGAGAGAGAGGTGACTATCAAAAAGCCCAATGGAGAGACCAGCACAACCACGATTCGGGTCTGGAATGAAACTGTCTCCAACCTGACCCTTATGGCTCTAGGTTCCTCTGCTCCTGAGATCCTCCTCTCTTTAATTGAGGTGTGTGGTCATGGGTTCATTGCTGGTGATCTGGGACCTTCTACCATTGTAGGCAGTGCAGCCTTCAACATGTTCATCATCATTGGCATCTGCGTCTATGTGATCCCCGATGGAGAGACTCGCAAGATCAAGCACCTACAAGTCTTCTTTGTCACTGCTGCTTGGAGCATCTTTGCCTACATCTGGCTCTATATGATCCTGGCAGTCTTCTCTCCTGGTGTGGTCCAGGTTTGGGAAGGCCTCCTCACTCTCTTCTTTTTTCCAGTGTGTGTCCTTCTGGCCTGGGTGGCAGATAAGCGACTGCTCTTCTATAAATACATGCACAAAAAGTACCGCACAGATAAACACCGAGGAATTATCATAGAGACAGAGGGTGACCACCCCAAGGGCATTGAGATGGATGGGAAAATGATGAATTCCCACTTCCTAGATGGGAACCTGGTGCCCCTGGAAGGGAAGGAAGTGGATGAGTCCCGCAGGGAGATGATCCGGATTCTAAAGGATCTGAAGCAAAAACACCCAGAAAAGGACTTAGATCAGCTCGTAGAGATGGCCAATTACTATGCTCTTTCCCATCAACAGAAGAGCCGTGCCTTCTACCGGATCCAAGCCACCCGTATGATGACTGGTGCAGGCAACATCCTGAAGAAACATGCAGCAGAACAAGCCAAAAAGGCCTCCAGCATGAGCGAGGTGCACACCGATGAGCCTGAGGACTTTGTCTCCAAGGTCTTCTTTGATCCGTGCTCTTACCAGTGCCTGGAGAACTGTGGGGCTGTACTCCTGACGGTGGTGAGGAAAGGAGGGGACACATCCAAGACCATGTATGTGGACTACAAAACAGAGGATGGTTCTGCCAATGCTGGGGCTGACTATGAGTTCACAGAGGGCACTGTGGTTCTCAAGCCAGGAGAGACCCAGAAGGAGTTCTCTGTGGGCATCATTGATGATGACATTTTTGAGGAGGATGAACACTTCTTTGTGAGATTGAGCAATGTCCGCATAGAGGAGGAGCAGCCTGAGGAGGGGATGCCTCCAGCAGTACTCAATAGTCTTCCCTTGCCTCGGGCTGTCCTGGTGTCCCCTTGTGTGGCTACAGTCACTATCTTGGATGATGACCATGCAGGCATCTTCACTTTTGAATGTGACACTATTCATGTCAGTGAGAGTATTGGTGTGATGGAGGTCAAGGTTCTGCGGACGTCAGGTGCCCGGGGCACAGTCATCGTCCCCTTTAGGACAATAGAAGGGACAGCCAAGGGTGGTGGTGAGGATTTTGAAGACACATATGGGGAGTTGGAGTTCAAGAATGATGAAACTGTGTAAGTAACCTTTCCACATTCTATCCCCTCCATCCCTTCTATCGTTCTGCACCACTTTTTAAAACTTTACCTTATATTTGTGTTAATGTCCAACTTTGATTCCATCACAGGTATGCAGGATCAGCAGACACTACTGGCAGATTCTGCTTCCGAACTTTCCTTCAGTTTCCTCACTTTAAATTGTTTCTGGGCAAGGAATCCTGTGGCAGGATCTTGGGACACAGAACATTTTGTCCACTGAAACTCAAAATGATGGCTGGTGGAGGGGCGGGGTGACAGAAGTTTTGATATCAGATTTTGGAGAATTCTTGTGACTAAGCAAGAGCTTGGAGACTGCTTGGGTCTCTCTTCTCTCTTCTCCTCATGCTAAGGGCTTATATGAGCTTTGAAACCAATCCTTTCCATTCTGAGACAGTGATAGCCCGTCCTCAAGAAAGCAAGTGGCATTGGCTTTTATTCCCAGTACCATATTGCAGTTGTATTGTATAACCATATTTCAGGGACCTCTCCTTCAATTTGGAAATTGCAAAGTTGATTGAAACTTGGCAATCTCTTTAAATGCCCATAGGCTATTTTCTGGTTTGAGGCTTGCCCAGTCGAGGTGAGATGTGTCAGTATGGCTTGGGTCCTGGAAGTATCTTGGAGAAGCAGAGCTCCCAGGGCAGCGGCCACCTGTCTTTAGTCACAGGGCTAAGCTCCAAAATCTGGCTAAGTAGTGAAGGAGAAGCCTGTTAGGAATTGTGGGAGAAAATACATCTTCTGTATGGTCATCTCTTTTCCCAGTCTAGAATTATCTTGAAATACTTCTCAGGTCACTGCCCCATTTAGTCCTTCAGACACTGTGGGTATTGCATTTCTATAGCCTCTGTCACTCTAGGGACTCTCCCCGTTGAGCCTTCTTGCACTGGGTGTTCTGTCCTTTTCTCAGATGGACAGCCTTGAAGAAGAAAGCAGAATGACTTTCCCCAGGCTTTGCAGCTTATGAGAGGGCAGACTGTCCAGGATGGCCAAGAAGGATGGGGACGAGAAAGGGGAATCTTGTCTCTGAATTCTTGCTCATGTCCGCAAGCAATAAGCAGTAGCAGGAGAAGGAGTGAAGAACATCAGGGGCATAGAGGAAGTGGGAGATGTCAAATGGCTCCAAGAACTTGCCAAAAATACTTTCAGTGGGAAAGGAAAACATACAACTTCTAGAAGAGTGAAGGAGGGAATCCTGGACAAGGGAGTCCATAGAACTGAGGGAGAGTTGTCACAGAAGTGCTTCTTCCCAGGTCCAGCCATGGGACAGAGCCCAAAAGGGCTTGGGTTCTGTTGACAACAGAGCTGAGTGAGTCATCCAGGGACTCTGCTCCTGTCCTTCCTCAATCCCTTCCTAATAATGTGGCTTTGGGCAAGTCATTTAGTCTTAGCTCAAGAACTAAACTGTCTCTTCTGTAAAGTGGGATAACAATACTCTCCTTGCCTAGAGTCAGGGTTGATTCTTTTTGCAGTTCCTACCAGCTCTAGGATTTTCTGAACCATAGACATAGGTGCTCAATAGAGGTCATATTTGCACTAGCCAAAGACGGAACAGGGGATATTGTCTCCTGAAGTGAAATAGCCATTGACAACGTGATTTGTTAGAGCTCTGTTTAGTCATTTTGCTGGGAAGGATAATCATTTGTTAGCATAAGTAAAAACCTGTGCCTTCCAGAGAATACTATCCATTTATGTGTGCTCTGTGGAGAGTATTTATACATGTAAATGAAGGACAGGCCCTCACTGGGAAGAAAAACTCGGTGAAATTTCACATATGTTTATGGCCATGTTGGTTATTGTCAGGCATTAAATGACATCAAGACCACAACATTGGCCATAATTTGACACAGTCATGGTTCCTCTGATTCAGTACCTCTCTATCAGGGGCACTGAAGGGTAGTTTTTGAGAGATTAGAGGCTTGGCTCCCAATTTCTTCATCCCATTAATAATCAATTGTGCATCTAGGATCTCTGAATATAACTGAACCTTTCTCAAACCTATTTGTGTTTTCAGCTTGTATATTATCTTGGTGTAAATGAGCCTCCTGAATTATGACTTGTGGGTGATATTGGTTCTAAATGTATATCAACCTCCACAAGTTTGAAATTCTGGTCCAGGTATTCTAGGGTTTGGTGAACAAGTCTATTTTTCCATCTATTCCTTGGCATTATTTTTTAGACTTCAGTAGACTTTAGCCTCTCCTTTTGGTCTTCTTCATCGCAGAAGAATGAGTCCAAAACCTACTAGTTTCTCCTCACATCACAGCCTTACCCTTGATAATTTAACTTGTCATTTTACAACTAGAAGCAGTATGATGTAGCAGGGCTTCAAGTACCCTGGGTTAGGATTCTGGCTCAACTACTGATTTAACCATGTAGTTTGGGGAAATTTTATTAACTTAAGAGATTACTGCCTCATTGGTAAAATGGGGATAATAATATCTCTCTTGCAGAGCTGTTATGATGATTCAAGATACTGTACGCAATGTTCTTTGTACATGGTATGTGCTCAGTAAGTGAGGCCATTAATAGGACTATCAATGATTTACAATATTCTTCAGAATACATGGTTGAGGTGGCCAGGTTACTTGGATCTCTATGGGACCCTAGTTAATAAGCATGCTAGTTTTTTGCTTACCATGAAGATTTCTAACCTAAACTCATAAAATATTGGAGCCAGAAATGACCTTAGAATATCTTCTAGAGTAGTGTTCTCAAATTTTAATGTACTGTCAACCACCCATGGATTTTGATAAAATGCAGATTATGATTCAAAAGGTCTAGAGTAGAGCTTGAGATTCTGCATTTTGAACAAGCCCCTGATCCCAGGATCAGGTCCCAACTTAGAGTTGAAAGCTTCTCAAGCTCTTGACCAAACCCTGAGACCCAGGAAGGAAACTGGATTTTCGAATGACTTGCTTAATTGAATCATGAATGCTGGCTTTCCAGTTCCAACTTTCAACCCCAACTTAGCTAGAACCCAGCTCTTACCCTGAGACCTGCTAGTTAACATACCAATTTGGAAACCAAAACCGAAACCTTCAGAGTACTTAGAAACTGTGTGGTGCCTGGAACAGTTCCACTTTCTAATCCTCCCCTCTCTGTAGCTTTATTTGCCTACCAAGCCTGGTAGCATTGTAAATTCTGCTCTCACCATATTCCTCTAAATTGAATCAAGTGGAAGCCAGGCCTGTGCTCTATCAATAATATTGGGTCCTTGAATTCACTCGTGTGGTTTTATGCTTTACTTCTTCAAAGGTGTCCTTAACACCAGGGCAGGATGGAAAAGCAGGAACTTTGGAGTCTGACAGACAGATGTGAATCCACCACTCACCAGCTGTGTAACTTTGAACAAAGTCACTTCTCCTGAGTCCCAGATATTTTGTTAGAATAAGAGTAATAATAATATTGATCCTGCAGGGGTGTGATAAGTACTACACACAAATAAGAAGCAAATATACCTTTAACACAGTGCCTGCTCACAGAAGATGCTCAGTCATTCAACAAACATTTATTAAATATCTGCTACCTACTAGGTACATTACTACGTACTGGAGATAAAGAAATGAATAAGACAAGCTGGCATTTTAGCTCTCAAGGATCTTATTCTCAGGTGGAAAGAACACAAAGTATACAGACAGATCAAAACACATGGGAGAAGTGGTATGGTTGAGATAAGTTCAATAAAAGAGGATTGAAAGCTCTTTGCTGTGTGTGTGAAGCCACTAAAGTTTTTAAAGTAACCTTCATTAAGGATGTGGTAGTGAAGCAGATGAAATTGGTGGGGGTAGGTACATGATTACTTTAAACCCATGTTATCATACACTCTTGATGTTTGAGAGGGATGCTATTGACATCTTCATGATCTAGAAGAACCCTCAGCTTTGTGACTACCGCTACAGGTGTGATGAGAATTACGGCCTTTGAGCCTACTGCAGATATTAACAAAACCTCACGGAGAGATGGGTGCTGCCAGCATGTTAATCTCTCTCACTGAACACGTGACTGGCTCCTGTATCCCAGACTGATAGCACGCCTCTGCAAAATAGCAGATTATTGCAGCTCATGGATGTTTGGGGTCTCTGGGAAGAGTCAAAGCTACAGATGTCAAATATGCAAATACCAAGATCTACTGTAATTAAATAGCATAGGCCGCCTTCAAAGAAGAATGGAGTATTAGCTGTGCCACACATTTTCCAGCAAAATTAGGATGTTAAAGCTAGAAGGTATCTGATGTCCCATTTTTACAAATTATGAAGCTGAGATTCAGAGAGGGAAAGTGACTTGTCCAAGATCACACAGCTAGGTATGATAGAAAGAGTTGGAAAAGACTTTTTAGAGGCTACTGATTTAATGTCCCTCCTTCCTGGTTTGAACATATCCATTTTATTTTATTTTATTTTATTTTTTTAAATTTTTTGTTTATTGCAGTAACATTGGTTTATAACATTGTATAAATTTCAGGTGTACATCATTATACTTCTATT